TCTGACAATTTAGTATTAATCTTCTGGATTTCTATCTGTAGATTTAGAATCATTTCTAATTTTTCATTTATTTTGTCATTTTGTTCTTGTATTGTCTTCCAGAATTCTTCTAGAGTTTTGTCTGTGTTTTCCTTGGTCTGTCTCTCAATCCTTTGAAGATAACTAAATATAATCTTTTTGATTCCTTTGGAATCAGGGAGTTCCAATGCTTTGCTGCATCTTCCTCAGAGATGTGTTTTGGGTCTGTATCCTGCTCCCTTGTTTCTCCTGCTTTATCTTGCTTCTTTGTTTGGACTGTGAAGCTCTTTTGTCTCTGTGACATTGTGACATTTTTGTGTTTATATTTAATTGGTGATTATATATTGGAGTGACCACCCACAGTTTCGTTTTCTTTGTTTTGTTTGTATGTTATCTATACAGGCAGGTACTGTGCTGTGCTCCTCTATTCACTAGTTGACAGCACTTATACACTCACCACCTGTCTCCTTTCTTTTGTCAGCCTCTTGTACGTCCTTGGCGACCCTGGCAAACAGAGCCTGTTCTTAGGTCCCTGGAATCTAAATGAGAATGCTATCACTTTAAAATCCAAAATGGTTGCCACTTGTAGACATTCAAAATGGCTGTGCCCTCAGTCACTTTAAATATCCAAAATGGCTGCTGCTTGTAAACATTCAAAATGGCTGTACCTTCGGTCACTTTAAATATCCAAAATGGCTGCCATGTGTAAAGAATCAAAATGGCTGCACCCTCCAGACAGCAGAATGTCCACAGCTCAGGTTGTCTCCCTCCTTGCTATTTCCCTTTCTAGTCACAGGCCACCAGAGCAGTTGTCCCTGCAGCCTTTGGTGATCAGGACTGATCTTTAGGTCAGTTCTCAGGTCCCAACACTACTTGGAAATATTCAGGCTATTAGTCTCGTCAGAGTAGCTGACAGTCCACAGCTCCGACCATCTCTGCACACACTGTTTTCGTTCAAGTTTTTCCACTAGTTAGTGCCTAATCCACTTCTGTATAATTCCTTTCAAAGCTCAGGGTTCCAGGATTATCTTCTGTATCTCTGTCAATTGGTTTTTCTTTTCTTTCTTGAAGAGAGTCTGTGTTGCTTGTCTGCCTAGTCCTCCATCTTACCAGAAGTCCAAAACCAAACTTACTTCTGTCAAGTTGATTCAACTCATAGGAACCCTTGCTTGGGTTTCTGAGGCAGTACCTCTATGGAAGTAGATTGCCCTGCCTTCCGAGGAGTGGCCGGTGGGTTTGAACCACCAGCTTTCTGGTTAGCAGTCAAATGCCTTAGGCACTATGCCACCAGAGCTCCCAGGTCTCTTTCCTTTCCATATAAAATTAGTGATTGGGGGAAGTTCCAGTAAGATGGCAGAATAGGCAGACAGACTGCACAGACCCTCTTCAACAAAGAAAAGGGGAAACAGTTAACACATATACAGATGATAATCCTGGAGCCCAGAGCTTTGAACGGAAGGATATAGAAGTGGACTAAACTCCAACTAGTAGAAGAACTTGCATGAAAACACCAAAAAAGGAGACCTATGGAGCTGCGGTCTGGCAGCGATCCTGACAGCACAAACAGCTTGGATATGGCCAAGTGATGTTAGGACCTAAGAATTAACCTAAAAATCAGCCCTGCCAGCCGGGGACTACATGGAGGACTGCACTAGTGGCTGGTGAATAGAAGGGGAAGAAGTGAAGAGGAAGGAAGGTGGGCTGAGCTGTGGACTTTTGCCAGTCCAGAGGGCACAGACATTTTGAATGTTTACAAGTGGTTTGACCATTTTGGATATTTAAAGCAACAGTGTTCTTCCACGTTCCAGGGATTTAAGAATAGGCTCCACTTGCCAGAAACCAAAAGGACATTCTGGACGCCAATGACTGGAAAGGTGCGTTATTCCCCTTGTTACTCTTATACCCCACACCCTTTGGTGAACAGAGGTGTGGTCATCGGTCATCCCTCGCTCCCACACACCTTCTGGGCTGGCAGGAATTCCATCGCAGTCTGTGTGCTCC